AATAAAAATAAGACCTTGGGTGCTCATTACCAACTTATATACTCTCCAATTTCACTATGAGAAAGTCAAAATTTTCAATATTTACTTTTAAATAAATAAAACTTGTAATAACAAATAAAGAAACAAAGCTTAAAGAATAATATCAAGTTCTAGAGTCCTCTTAAAATTTCTCCTGACTACTGAAGATTAAGATTATTCTACAGCAATCTGGCTACATACTACTCACATCACAGCCACAGGCTATATGTGGCCTGAAGGACCATCATTGTTTTGGGTTATTCGACTGAACAAAACCAGCACAGATTTCAGATTTTTCTGTACAACCCATGTGCAAGTCCGCAAAACCAAGATGAGTTAGCAAACACTCTTGGGTGAAGTGACTAACAAGTTTCTCTATGACTGAACAAAATCCTACACAGTCCTCTCCATGCAGGAGGAACGTCAGTCAATGTACAGTAGGTGTCAAAAAATTCCATTGACATCATTCTCTAGTTGTTTATGTGCCGCTCCAATATTTTAATAACATTTTACAGATTTAAGGAGGATATTCGCTGATGCATCCAACAACGAAGAAAGTAATCACCTGAAGAAGAGTACACAAATTACTCACAACCCGTAGTGAACAATATTGTAAAGTGAAGAGAGATTTGTAAATAAGAACTAAATATTAAGTATATTTCAAATGAGAAATTAAAGATATTATGTTTCACTGAAAATTAAATTGTATTTTCTTTTAAAGTCTATCTACAAAACAAACTAGGTTTAAGAACATGAATATTTTATGCAATAATAAATTTCTACATCTTTATTTTAAATCTTCATTTCTCTACATTCTCTCTCTTCCTCAATTCACAATATCAGCAACAAGTTTCATATAGGTTTATTATTTCTAAGGAATCACTGAATCTGATCGTTATTTCTTCTAATACTTCATGAGAATTCATGTCAAGTTTTATTCTTCTCATATCATTTTGAAAGAACTTTGGATTCTTTGTACAGGTTTTTCCAGAGCTCTGTTTATCACATACTGGAAAGCACACAAAATAGCAGTAGTTTTTACATCAACAATACAACACTACCCATTAAAATTATGCAACATACTTCTATTTTTAATTATTGGAACTTAAAAAGTTTAACCCATTTCTTCCCAACGTTGTGTAATCAAAACTCAAGGTTTACCATTATATATTACCAATACAATTTGTTGAAAACATTTGTAATTTTTTGTACAGTAAATACAATCGTTAATGACTTTTAAAACTATTTTATTTGATAAATACACATTACACGACTACACATTTTTAATCCACTCACCAACAAGCGCAAGTGGCTATTCCGACGCCTCTACAATATGTCATTTGATTTTAAATTGCTAATCAATGTGACTTGTTATCACAATGAAAAATATAAATAGACAAATAGAACTCTAAATGTCAGAGCAGAATGGGATTTTAAAAACCATTTTTATAGACAAATAAGTAGTGTGTTGTATTCACGCAATGTTGGAGTTTCATGGCAGATTTGGGAATGTCCAAATTCCATTATAGCACCATAAAAAACAGTTTATAGGCACTTGGTATTTGGAAAGAGGTGTATTATTAGGTAGAATATGCTCTTTGGATTGTTTCATTGATGAATATGTGAATGGAGTTTCCTCAACACTAAAACAAGGCATATCTACATATTTCTGTCAACAGCTTAGGTAAATAATACAAATCAGCAAAATTCAGACCATTCTTTGACAAATAAACCAAAGAGATTTGCAATCTGGAGTACTTAGCAGAATTTATCAGTACTTATGAGCAGATAGTTTCATACTTAGAGTGACACTTTGCTAAAACAAGCAAGTTATGAGATGTTTGGCTTCATGATGTGGTGCATATTGATATGGAGAGGGGGAAAAAAACAACACACATACACACACACACTAACACACACCTTTTTTTGTTCATGGAGTCTCACGCAATTTGATGGAAATCCTTGCAGAAAATTAAATAACATCTGCCATTTCTTGACAAACTTCTACATATATCACGCTATTTTTTGTCATCTATCAGAAGCAGATTTCTATACTAAAACAAATTGTAGCAACTGGGAGAAAAGAGCATCAAAACCATTCGCAGACCAACCCATAAAATTATTTCAATACAAAAGTTGTAAATGATCACATGATACAGAACCATAATGAGTTTTTGATTTCTTAGAGATCTGACTAAGCAAAGTATTACATTACAAAAGAAAATTCTCCAAATTGTATTGATTCAGAACTAGTACTCTTTTTTAGAAGCGCCATCTACCACCCAAATTGCCTTGTAGCCCCCCCCAACTGCAATTTGCCATCTGATACATTGAAATTTAGAACGCAGTAAGAAGAGAAAGACTAAAGGTCCATGTTGATTGTATAAATTAGTGGTGATAAGAATGCATGCACGTAACATTTTTCGTAAAAATTTGACAATTTTGAAAATTAAAAAGTTCTAATACATTTAAATTCCATTTGGCTTTACACCTTCATGAATAAATTTGAACTCTTGCACATCAGTAAAATTCAGACAACTGACAAAATACACACATTTCTATAAAAAGCGGTAATTATTCTTCCTTTCTGGAAAAATCACAATGTTCAACACAGGCAACATGTGTTCATCTTCATCCAAGAATCGAAATATTTTTAGCAAACTGGTCTTGTTACCTTTGGAGACTTATTTTCAATATTTAACTAAAATATATCAAATAAATTAAGTATTTCACTGTTTGGGTAGAAATGGGTTAAAGAACAACTTTATTATTCATAAAAAATAAAAGATTTTAATTGCTTAGATAATGCCTCATTGATTTCCAGCCTTCAAATTAAACAGCCACCTAGATTTCTTGAAAAAAATTGTTATCTAACAATTTAATATTGATAAAAATTCACGAAAATAATTAATCACATTTCCCCATGTACTAAGTAAAATAATTAAAGTATACAGCTGCTTTGAAAGTTTATGAGACAAAAGTTTTAAATAAAAAATGGATTTTTTATTGAAATATTTGTATTAATAAAGAATGCTTCATATAGCAAATATCACATCAGGGAATTAATATTTCTGCAATTATTAAAGTGATTGACAAAAATGTCTGAACAAGGAATTAAATTTGAAAAATGTATACTAAAACCACAGCAATGAAACTAAAATTTAAATTCTTACTTTAGAACTGGAATCACCTCAACAATACTATCTTGAATTGTCCGTAATAAATCCTGTGCTTACAGTTCTTTTGAACGGCAACTTAGCAAGATCTATTAGTGCCATTCCAAAGATGGTTAAGATTGGGGCATGTGTCAAGGAGATGCAGACAATTTTGATTCCAAAAACCGGATGCCTTTATGATGAAAGGCGGATGTATGTGTCTTGCATAACTGTCAGATTAGAAGCGTTTGAAATGGAACTTGGTAAATATGACAGGAGTAAGATCTAGGTGCAACCTTCTAGAGATCATGAAGATAATTTAATTTTTAGGCGTTCTTTACATAACATTATCAAAATGTTCTAGAAAATACATGAAATTTATTGCTTGAACTCCATTTATAAATATGACAGGATCCCAATTTTCATTAAAACATGTGCAATTATGAAAATTTCAAATTTTATTATGAAAATTATTCAAATATTTTTTTTTAATCTGCTCACTCTTCCACTATTTAAGTTGATTTCTTTTTCAATGCAATTAATCACTCAATATTATATCTTTAAATGACGTCAAGAACTTTTTTAAAAAATTAGTATTGTTGAATAATAAAACCAAGGTTGGAAAAGTTTTAAAATGATGTTCGTTTCCACTTGATTTATAAGTTTAATTTAACTATAAATCTTTGATTTCAATTACCAAAATTTATTTATTTACGTAGATTCAAAAGACAGTATGACCAACTTTAATGGGAAAAATTGTTAAGGGAACATTGTAATTTTTTAAAATTTATTTTATACTTAAAAAATGTAAGTATTTAGATGTAACTCTACAAACCCGTGGAAGCAGTTTTAGAGAACATAAATAAAAAAAGACCATCAGCATCAATTAATGCAATGAATGAAATTTCACACTTATGATATTTCACTCAATTCAGCAATAAAATTATTCAGATTGAAAATTACTCAGGTGATTACATACGGACTTAAGGTCAAATGGGAACACCCGAGCAAGAGACTTCGAAGAAATGGAGAGTGAAATAAATCTGAAGAGAGCTATAGGGGTGTCCAACTTTACTCCATGACTGGAGTACTAGCCAACGAAGGAGCTCTTATGTGAAAAAACTGCAGAGCTAAATGCTGCGAACAACACACCTCAAAGAATGAATGAATGAACGAATGAATGAAGACACTAACAGAGAAGATTAAAGAAATATGGAAAGAATTTCTTTCCAGACGAAATGCACGGACCACGAGAGAATGGATGGGAAAGGAATATGACTTAAGGAATTCAGTAGCAAGGTTTGTGATGCATGGATTTCACCATAAAGTATGCAAAACTAAAAGATTACATGAATCAATCAGCATGTGTGAATAGGTAAGAAATTACATCATATTAGGTCTGACAAAGCGAACAGAGGAACATATCCATTTCAGCACTGAATAAAAAGAACTAACAGAACAGGTGAATCTTTTAGCGCAGTAGTGAATGTGATAAATACAGTCTGAACAGTGATTGAACAGTGAAAGAGTAACTTTCCGACTTCCTCCATATCTTTCTCTCATGAGAGAGAACTATGCAGATTTGTGCTTTCCCTTATTATAAAAAGATGGTGAGGTGGTATGGTATTGTATAAAAAAATATGCTTTATGTAACAAGTAAACAACATATAATAGCAAATTTCAAAACCAAAGCATACACCCCCTTTTCTAAAAACCTGAAAAACTAGACAAAAAATCTGTTTAAACGTACTAGCTTTGATCCTTTGACCTTCAATTCTAGATTCTCACCAATGTACTCAGAATTGTCATTAAATTAAACTATGATACTTACACAATGATGTTGTTAATGGGAATATGAATGAGCTTCACAAAAAATCCAATAAATCCCATGATACAAAATCCTATAGCTGTGGCAACAGCAATCTTCTGGAATTCTGAAAAAAAAAAATTAGTACGCTTATAAGTTAATTGAAATTGCAGGCCAAAAAAATATTTACAATCAAAAGACAGAAAATAATAATTCAGTGATCCGAAATCAATTAATTAATCTTGTGAGATTGTACATCTGATTAGTCTTATCAGGCCACAATTCATGAATTTCCTTAAAAGTACAAGGCATTAGTGTTTTGTTGATGCTCATGCAAGTATGCAGTTCACATTGAGATTATTTTCTAGAAATGAAGAAAAATCTTCACAAGTGATGAAGTGAGAAAAGAGTTCAAAGTGACTGCTGGATCATTAAGGTTCTTACTTTCATGCTGAATAGACTCTGAATTTCTTGCAATTTGGATATGCAAAACTTTTGTACACTTTTGGCCAGTGTTCTTAATGCCAATTTAGAGAATAAAAAATCTCTTGAACAAATGAAATGAGGAAATATTATGGTTCGCTGGATCTAAAATTGTACTTCACTTATTTTTTGAAAGACATTCCATCAAATAAGAGTTCAGCAACCTACCCCCAGGTTACCAACAAATGAAAGAATTCAACTAAATTCAACATTTAACAAATCACCATACTTTAAATTTAACAATTCACCATCTGCTCTTCACTATACAACAGTTTGTCCTGAATAGCAAACTTCCAATTATCAACACATTTATGACATAGAAAAGCGCACATGAAATAACGTATTCTATGTACATCACTACATCTGCGAAATTCATTAATGCAAACTTCAATACTGGAATCAATGGTGAATTAATAGTGCCTCGGGCTGTTTAAAATATAAAGGTAAGACTATAATGAAAAGGTTATCAATATGTATAATGTACGTGTATTTGAGTCGCTCACCTTTTCTATCGGGCTTTGTGCAGCGTTTCACAAGTCGAATTGAATCTTTGGTGAACTGGCGTCCAGGCTCAACAAATTTGGTGATCTGATCCATTCTGAAGTAATCTGAAACAGAGTGAAAATGAACAGTCTGTCGATGTTGATTCAAATTTCTTCTCATAACACTGACTGACTTACGGCATTGAAACCCTATGAAACCTAAACCAAGAAAGATTAATTGAACTGTAACACTCACTTGATTAATAATACGGTTTGCCAATTACGCTTGCCAGCAGCAGCCAATATCGCAGCTCTAACACGTCGGTGTGGATATGTCGGACTGGATAAGTGTGTTGACGTCTACAAGAAAGTAGACCAATCAGAATACACGTAGTCCAACTTCCGGTGCTTGCGTGGAACCTCGTGGATGTTAATTTTTTTAAACAAATGATGGCAAATTTTGTAAACAAACGAAGACTTTCAAGCGATGAGTTTTGTCACAAGATTCGACGTATTACTTAAAATTTCATTCCATGTTGAAACCAAAATTTTGATAAGTTAGATTCGGCTTCCCTACCATTTAATAAACGATCCCTTTGAACGATGTAATCGAATTGAATGATGTATTCAAGGAGACAACCATTACCCAGTCTCACCAACCTAAAAAAAAGTGTTGTAGAAACAGGAATAATAGTAGTTTGTAACTTTAGAATTGACAATTATTGAATAAAATGTACGTACTAGTGTAAGTAAACTCTACTGATTTGTTTCACACATTTTTTATCTATCAAACATTTTATTTTAACAGTTTCTTTTTCTTCTGAAGCAGAGTATAGGTGTTGCGATCATTTTTTTTTACTTTTGTGCGCCGAACGACGAGCGTGGTCTTGGTCTTGACTTGTTCTTTGGCTGCAATTGCAATTGCAAGTCGATCCTTCAAGATGGCGCTTAATACTACTGTGAAAGTGCACCCTGTTGTTTTATTTCAAATTGTTGATGCGTACGAAAGAAGAAATTCCGAAGCTGCGCGTGTTATTGGTACACTGCTTGGTGAGTACAACTGGTCAGAAATTATCTGCTGCTAGTTTTGTGTGTAAATGTGAAACTGTATAGGTTATGGATTACGACATTAATGATAAAATTGCTTTCACAGGGACTGTGGAAAAAGGAATTGTGGAAGTGACGAACTGTTTCAGTGTGCCCCACAAGGAGTACGAAGATCAGGTAAACAGATTTTTCCATTGCAATTTTCATGTATAATATTTGTAGAATATTGAAACAATATGACGTGCTCTGCAGGTGGATGCAGAATTGAGTTATGCAGCAAACCTGTATGCTCTTAATCATAGAGTTAACCCTCAAGAGGTAATTGTTGGTTGGTGGGCTACTGGAAATGAAGTTACCAGCCACTCTTCACTGATTCATGAATATTATGCCCGAGAATGTAAAAATCCTATTCATTTGACACTGGATACAACTCTTCAAAATGCTAAAATGGGAATTCGGGCATATTTGAAGTAAGTTTATTGAAGCTTAATTATTTCCAATAGAAATGTATTATTTTATGACAAGTTCAGTCATGAAACTTGTGCATTGTGACAATTTATTGAATTGGGATGGGATCTTGGAGTGAAGGTCAGTTAAAATAACTTAGTTAATGCCAGTGTTTCAGAAGCATTAGCCTTCATTAGGGCTATCCCACAACAATTCGCATGCTTGTTATTGCCTAGATTGTAATAATTATTACTATGTTATGAATGTTTCTCACCAGCTGTGCTCACTGAAAGGTTTCATTGAAAACTGTGTATGTAGAATGGTACTAAATTACTAAATGTAAAATAAATTCAAAAGATCACAAGTTTGAGAATTGTTATGAATTTGTGGTCAAAAATATTTTTTTTCTTTTTGTATAGAATTTATAATTAAATCAAAATCACATAGTAAGAGGATACAAGAGAAACCAATTTAATTAGTGAACATGATACAACATGGCAGTTGTTTAATCCACCAGTTCAGGCTGCTCAGGGGAAATCCATTGAGGGGACCTGGGATAGTTTTGAAGTTTTGCCAGTAATTGTTGGGAGGGCATATTTGGTGAGAAACATATGCTGATCCATGCCAATGTAATTTGCTCCCTAATGCAAATTTTTGTCTCTCCTCTGTTCTAACGTTTTGAATTTTGTTACATATATTTTATTTAGCTTATCCAGACTTGCTTGGATAGGCGAGGAACAACTTTAGTTACTGCATGAAGTAACCATTATATTTTACAAAATGAATGAAATATCCGAAAAAATTGTATTAGTGTAATTCTTTTTTTCTACCCATAATCGAACACTAAAAGAAACATTTTATATTTGCAAATAATAAGACCAAACTCTTTTTCGTTTTAAATAAAATGTCAATTATGCATACATAAAAAATGCCTTAATTTTTATCGCCCCTTTTGCGGTGCTCCGCGCTCACACACGCGGCCGTGCACATACGTAACATTAAATATAAATGAGCAAAATGAGATAGTTTAATTTTTATGTTTTATTTGAATCTATTAAAATTTTATTTCTTAGTGATTGATCACTTCCCTCATTTTGTCTTTTCTTCGGGGTAATTTCACGTTCCAGTAGGTTTGCTCCAGCAATCACGGAGAGTTTTACGTACTCTGCGCATGCGCGAGTGCAAACTTCCGAAATTGTTCCAGAAATCCCAATCCGGGACTAACTAGGTACAAAAATCAGTCTCTAGGTGCCGCTGCTTTCGTTTCATGGATAGTTGCAGAATTATCCGCTAGATGAGTTTCGTATCGCGTGCAAATATCAAAGCGACATAGTCCTCAGATGGTCCTGGTCAGTTCGTGGTATTTACTTGCGCTTTACGTTTCTCAATTTTTGCTCGTTATTAATTACGGATTTTGAACCTGGTAAAACGTGACTTGCGCCATTGCTTTTGATTATTCTTTTGGATTTTGGTTAATTGTATTTTTTTAAATGAGCTATAATGCTAGTAATACAGAATGGTAAATAACTACATATATATTTAGTAAGTCACAGTACAAGAAACTTAAAATTACTTGCCTTCCATTTCCCCCAAAAAAGAAACAGTTCCATTATCCACAAGAACATCCGAAAGATAGCTAAGTCACCGAAATCCAAGAATTTAGATTGTATTTATTTATTTAAGGTCGTTAAAACACGCAGCTTCCAAATGTTATTAAATCTTTCATCAAGCCCGGATCCGTGTTCTCGGACTGTCAGAATCAGAATTTAGTCAAAAAAGTTAAAAACTGTGTGACGTATGGGGAGATGATGATCTGCGCATGTCTTGAGTTCCAGAATCCCTTCTCCATCATTTTAACGATAAATAAATTTTAAAGAAGCGGGGGTTAGTAATTCGTGGGGGAAAAAATGGTCACCGAAAACCAAGGATCAATAGAATGTAAAACAAAGCAGGGTCAAAATATACAGAGCGGAACATAAAGCAACTATGCAGAAACCTGACTGAAACATAAATGGCGCGTCGTCAAAGTTCTGCGTTGGCGGCAACTGGGGGTCCGAAGTACGCATGCGTGGATTTCTAGTTAAAGGGAGAGTGCACGAACTGATTCGGACTGGTATCAAACTAACCAGCAACCTTGCTGGAACGCCCAACTCCCTTTCACAATTACCAACTGCTGCTGGAACGGCCAATACAAGACTGCGCATGCGCGGACTAGTTCGGGAGTGTTTCGGACTGGGTGGGACAAACCTAACCTAGTATCTTGGCGGACCGCCATTACCGTGATTACCGTTCTGTCCGTTGTAGTACATCAACGGAACAATCGTATTTTGTCGGGGAAGCTGTGGAAGTGGTTAGCTACGTGTCTCGTACAGTGAAGTTTCTTGTGTTCTTCAGATTCTTTGTGCTTTTGAGTGTTGGAAGTTTGTTGTGACTATGGTGAAAATAAACGTAGGTTTCTTTTACATGTTGCGTCGAAAGGGATGTTCAGCTGTTATTGAGTGGGCCCAAGAACATGGATTGATTGGTTTAAGGTGCTCGTGCCCTGTGTGCAAGTGTCAGATGAGGTTGGCCAAGAGAAAGGATTTGTGTGATGGTTTCGAGTGGAAGTGTAGCAAGAAAGGGGCCACTCCTCATGTGCGAAAGTGTTCAGTGCGGAAGGGGTCATGGTTCGCGAGAAGTAAGATCAGTATGATTCAGGTATTAGTAATGACGTTTCTTTGGGTCATGAAAGTGCCGGGTGAATTCATTAGGAACGAACTGTCCGTAAGTAAGAAAACCGTGACTGACTGGATGAGTTTTTGCAGGGAAGTGTGCGTGAGTGCAGCCGACAGAGAGAGCGAGCCCATTGGCGGGGAGAGCGTGGAAGTAGAGATGATTGAGAGTGCGTGTTGTGGGCCCAAGTATGATCGTGGCAGGAAAGGGATTGCGAAGTGGGTGTTTGTTGGGGTTGAGCGAAAGACGAAGCGCGCCTTTTTCAAGGTCGTTAAAACACGCAGCAGAGTTGAGCTTCTAAATGTTATTAAATCTTTCATCAAGCCCGGATCCATCGTGTTCTCGGACTGTTGGAAGTTTTATGACTGTCTAGAAGACGAAGATTTTCAGCACTTCGCTGCGAACCACCGCGTGTGTTTTAAAGACCCAGAAACAGGAGCGCAAACAGAAGGCGCGTGGAGCGTTGTGAAGCGAAGTCTGCCTCGGCGGCGCGTGGCCGACCAGTTGGACAGCTATCTGGCGGAGTACGTTTGGAGGCTTCTCCAACGGGGCAAGACTCCCACAGAGAGGTTTTTATCTTTCCTTGGGGGCGTCTCTAGACTTTATGAAACCTGAAGAAATCGAAGCACTTCGGTAGGTTTATATTCACTTCTTTCAGACCACTTGTTGAGGGAGGGGATAAGGAGATATGAAAAGAATCTCATTAATTGAATACCCATCCTCCCACCCTGTCCCTTCAATCTTCACTCTCATCATTTCCCCTTTCCTATTCCCTGTGTCCCTCCCCTTCCTACATCACTTTTCCCATCCCTCCCTTGCTTGTTCCACTGCTTGTTTCTCATGCACCGTGTTCTCTTAATTTAACTCTTTGCACCCTCATTGAATAAAGCCTTTATTATGTTAAAAAAATGACTCGGGTAATTATTTTGTGGTAACTGTTTTAGCGTTCCAATTGGTGTCCCTGGCGGTTCAGTGGGCTGCATGTTTACCCCGATTAATGTAGAAGTCACCTGCTACGAGCCAGAAGTTGTAGGAGGTAAGAGATTTTCCCGTCTTGCATATTATTTTTGTAAACAATTGGTGCGGAAGATACTTCTAGAGGAGAAAACTTCGAGGAAATGGCCTATCAATTTGGAATCTTTTTAACAGAAAGTTAATGACTTTGTCAAATGTTTACATGTGTATTGAAGTACAAAAGTGAAACCTTAATTTATAAAAATCTATAGTTCTTTCTCTGATGGTAAAATCAAATTCATTGGGAAGCTTTTGTATGCCATCTCAACTAGAAGTTTTCATTCTCTCTTGATCAAAAGTTTGCTAGTAAAATCTTATTCACAACTTGTTATAATTAATTAATCCTCAGTTGCAAATTATTTATTATTCTTAATAAAAGCTGTAAGAAATAAAGATGCTTAGGATTTTTACAATTTGTTATAACAAGAGGAACCAAGAACTTTATGAAAGTAATAAAAGCTGAACATTGTATAATAATAAATATTTGTAATATTTTATACATGAACATATGCTAGTCCACTGTCCATTATTTTAACTAGGCAAACATTTTGTCAAGACAGACATTCTCTGAAGAGAGACTGCTCTCAAACGACACGGTACACACAATAAAGGTACACTTAATTTTCGTTATGGATACTCTAATAATTTTCTGTGGTATGATAGCTTTTAAAACGAGTGCGAGGGAAAGTCCACCTTTCAATGTGGGCACCGACATGTAGGCTCTTGACGTGTCTCATTCTTGTAACATATCACAAATCTTTTGTTTAATTTTTGTTACCTTTAGATGGAATTCTGTCAAGAAAGTGTCTTTCCAACAAGCACTCCCCAACGAAGTGTAAATCACACCCCAAACGTAGTTCACATACTGCTCTTTTGTCTTGTGAATGAGCAAATAATTGCTCAACCAGATCAATAAGAATTTTCAGATTCTTGTCCCAGTATGATTCTTTTTCCAAATAATAAATGTTTTCAACACTGACATTTATTAATTTTGTGAAAATTTAGATTTATGTACATTAAAGGATAAGAATACAGTTTTATCGTCCACTACCCAGAGAATCCAACTAAAAAGGGCAAAATAATTTATAGGAAAAATGTTATTTCAGATACAAAATATTGTGGGAACTATTTTAGATATCAAATTCACAATACTTCCATAAAAGCATTGTAGTTACAAAAAGTCATTTTAAATTGCATTTGTAGTTAATATAATTTTTTTTTTCTTATAAGAAGATGGTATTATGAAAAGTATTCAATGGCATGTCCCAAAACATGCAAAAGAAGCTTGGTTGTTCAGAAATGTCATCCTTGTTTGTTATTTACTGTTTATCTGCTGAATGACTGATAATTATTTGTTTTGAGTTCAAAATACGATTCCAGATATGTATTACTTTCTTATTATTCATTGTGTAATGTATTAACAAGTTTTTGTTTTCCTGAAAATTTTGACTACATACACAGTCAATTTTGAAACTATTTGACTAACTTGATCGATTCAATAAATCGTGCGTAAAAAACGCTTATAGATATAAAAATGGTTTTTTTTTTTTTTTTTTTAATGAAGTTTTTAGTAAACAAACTTTTTTCATTCATGATTTTATCTACCAAATTTTAATATAAACGTTCATACTACTCATAAGTAAACATGTTATGTATATGTTTTCAATTATGTAACTATCTTTCATAATATATGTTAATAGAATTAACATATATGTATTTATTATAAAATATACATAAGCATAAATGAATTTTTTTAGTTTAAAATGAACCCCCTTTGTGTCGTTTTCAGTGCAACTGTGTCAGAAGACTGTGGCTGGAGGAGTTGGGGGTAAGAAGATAGTGGAACCTCTTCTGGACTTGGCTCAGGTGGCTGAAGCGTCAAGACGCCTGACAGGCCTCCTTGATCAAGTACTGACATATGTCGAAGATGTGCTTGCTGGACATGCGCAACCTGATAACGCTGTGGGACGAGCTCTATTGGATATGGTGAATAGTGTGCCGAAGATGAGCAATGAGGAGTTTGAGAACATGTTCAATTCAAACGTGAAGGTGAGTGAGAAAGAAAATATTTTTAAGCTTTTGGTGGATTGTTCACAATCATAACAATAACATAGATTTGAGAACATGAATGTGATTGTACCATTCACAATGATCTGAATGTAAATGTAAACGGAAATACTCAGTGATACAGTAACCTCCAGGAGAACAAGATTTGTATATACTATATTTACTCGAATATATGGCAAGCATATATACCCATTTTTAACCTCTGAAAATTAGGGGTCATCTTATATTAGTGTATGATGAAAAATTTGTGTATGAAGATTAATGCAATATGAATGATATTGTTGTTACTGGTATTATACAAGTTTACTTCACAACTCATTTGTCATTGGCAATAGAAACTCCTCTTTTTTCTTATTGGATATGTTTATGAAATATATGTAACTAGTACAATGGAGTGACTATATGGTAAGGGCTGGGTCGCACAAGCGTTCTGTTGATGTGCGGTAAGTAGCGCTTGATGTAGATTAACACTTATCTTGTGCGCAATGGCCAAAGCACTAGTTTGCCGTTTCGCATATGATGGTATAGTTCAGCACAGTGACCAATATTACTTAGCAATCTAAATGTGATCACAGTCACAGGATATTGCTCCCCTCTTCCTACAAGTGTGAGAATTCTTCAGATTAGGAAACACAATACCAGTCGCTCTTGTGGGAATCCTTAGCGGAAAGTGTACAGCATTTCTGTAGTGATTGGTTAAGTTAATTTTTATCTCTTAACCTTAAATACACAATGGCTGGACTTGTGTAAACATTTTAGCCCTACACTTTGTAAAGCATGCTTTTTTAAAAGTGAAAATAGCTTCATACTAGATTCCAACTCCAGGCAAATCTTCTGTCCACCTCGTCCCCACGTGTTTCACTACTTGCTCCTCACCCCACTACATGCTCACCACATTTTTCAGCATGTACATTCCCCATATGATCCTTCGAATAATAAAAGTGAAAATGACTTAACACTTGAAACCAACTTTCAGTGTATATGGCAATCTTTGCTCAATTGTGATAGCCATAAAAAATGTATAACAACTTCCAAAAAGGTCTTCCTTTGTAGATTACAATATAGAAAACAACTTCTCTCTTTCAATGACAGTGATTTTAGACCCTTGTCAGGCCACACTTAGCACCAAAGTTACATGCCTGCAGTGGCATGCACCAAAGGTGCTGCCTTCAATTTTTAAACTCTGCAGAAAAAAGCAAAGGAGACCGTGTTATTCATTAGCACCAGTTGTGAATAATGTGTGTATTTGTGTGTGTATATATATGTATGTTCTTTCAGTTTTCTTCACTTATGTAATAAGATACTATAAAATTATGGTGTTTTTAATTTTAATTTAAAAAAAAAATTAAAGCTGCAAAATCAAAGGTATAAATGTTTGCCTCAGACAGTCTGTTGCACAAAATTAGTTCTTCATAAGAGTTTATGTACAATTTTTTTTAACAAACGAGAAGTATTTTCTTTATTTCTGGTTGAAATTAATTAAATATATTCAGGTGTCACACCAAAACTACATGTGTGGAGAAAAATTGAATGAATGATATGATAAATAATTAATTTAATACTTATTATAATTTCCTATTGAAAATGCCAATATTAACTCTATTTTTGCTTTCTCATACTTTTACTTTACTTAATTATATAATTTGTGTTCTCAATGCACAATGTACGTTTCAGCAGGCTTTCGGATTTACTGCTCTCCAGGACATCTATAACTGTTTAATTTCTTAATGAATTATGAAGTGACTAATTATGGTTTTGTTTGGATGTCTTTATTTGAAATAAAATAAAACATTCAAGAATGAATTTAAAATATAGAAGAATCTGCCTAAGAATGAGCCAAAATGACATTTTCCTAAACAAGTGAACATCACATGTAATTCAGAGTTGGGCTGCGACAGCTGTTCAGCCACGCCTCTTGGTAAAGTGTTTGTGTTTGTACATGGCACCCGTTAACTCATCACAGCTTCTCGTTATACACAATGTGTAATTATATACAAATATTAATTGATAAAACATCAACTGAGAAACATTCTCAGTCACAGCTCGCCACTTCACCACAAAGGGGCAGGAAACTAATGCGACATTACACATCTGACATTCAGGACTGTTTTCAAACAAACATAATACTTATAACACAAAGTAAATTCAATGTAATGCTTATAAAAAAATAATTTTTACATAAGAGCACACTAGCACTGCACTTCCTAATTTCAATTATTTCTCATGGCAAACTACATTTCATTGGACAAGACTTCACAAAAGGAAGTGATGAAACCATTTAGAAGTTCGCCAACTGCAAACGAATGAATAAAAAAGGAGAGTCAAAAGGGCTGAAAGACATACCGACCAGAGAAGTTCAGTTATGTTGCCAACACTAGCTGTCAAGACAGTTCATTCTAATGAAAATTGCTCTATATCTTGGGGACACGGCAAAAGATGTATGTATTCCAAACAAACAATAGTGTTCCGTAAAGAACGCCTTAGAAAAACTTCAATGAAATCACAACAATGCAAACTGAAAAACAGTTAAATTTATCGCAAAAATTGTGCTTTTAGCAAGAATTGATAAGAAAATATGTTCCCATTATTGGCAGTGCTCATCGATGCATGCAGCCTTTGTTGGCAGTACTCATTGACTGAGATGTGTTTTTATATCGGCAGAAATACAAAATATTGTTACCGTTAAGAATTGAGAAAGTAGGTGTTTTAGCTAGTTTACCAGATATCTTGTCCATGCCAAAGCTGCTTCAAAATTAACACCATTAAGTTCTGATGTATTTAGTATGTTGGCTCTTTTAAGTCGAACATGTACGCTCTTCTAATGGGAAATCCGATGTTTTCTCAACTCGACTAAGAGGTCAGTAGCATTTATCCCATCGGTAACTTGAGGGCATCTTTCAAATAAATCCTATAGCTCATCACACTGCATAGAGTTGTTGAATTAGATTGTATAGAGTATCATAAGTAGTATGTAAAGAATTAAACATAGCTAATGAATTAATATTGACGAATAAAGTACTTCTAAATGTCCTTCAAATATTCTCGTCCACAAAGAAAGCACTATCGATATGTTTGCCACCACACCCCATTGTGACTTGCCGGTGAACACGGATAAACAATTGTGTGTTTAATGTTGATAATGTCAAGAAATAATAATGAATTTGACAATGTAACATTGACAAAGATCGATCTGTTGCATAGGAAAAGCTTAAAAACGTTTGCTCAATACCACTTTGGATAGAGAATTCTGTGTGTTCACTCCTTCAAATTCCTTTTTATCAACCAACTACCGAGGGGCAACTGCCTCTTGCTGAACTGTGGCGAATTTTCACAGAGGTAAAGAAGATTATAGAAAGATTTGCTCTTCAGAAATTGGAACAATGTGTGGCCAAAATACCAGATATTTTAAAGGTTTCAAGAGCTGAGAATTTGTCATTCTAAGAAAGAATTCCCCCCAAAGATGGTAGGATTGCTCCCACTGGTGTCAGAGAACGAAGAAAGATATTTTTCTGCCTTTTCAAACTTTCTGGCTGACAAACTTTTAAACTTGACATGGGAATGTAATTCATTATAATTTATTTTTTATGGCTTTGAGAGCATAATCGCATGATATTGATGTGAACCTGATTTAATAAATTTAGTTTGTATGTAACTTGCCTATTTCCCCTCAACATTTCATGTGCATTTGTCATGTTATGGTATAAAATCATGTATGTACATTTGTACTAATGTTTTTTGTTTTTGTTTTTTATCTAAACATGCACCTATTTTCAATATTTTTGACACGTATTGGCACTATACTGGCTATATTTATGGCATTTAAATTAGAAAATTTTTGCACCTAAAAATCTGGCCTCTTATAATAATATTTACTGTAGAATGGAATGAATTTAAAATGAGAAATGTGATGGGAGAAGCTTAAACCTGGTGGAATAAAGTGACGAGGAGGAAACATTTTATATTACAACAATAGTATATTATGCCATTAGTTTAAAATATTCCAAGAATAACCGCATGAACGAAGAGTGAGCGATTGTGACTATTCTTATGAGTGCAAAAAGTATGTTTTTTATTTTTATATAATGTTTATTTTATTTTTAATTCTCAAGTCTGTCCTAAGTACAATATGTAATGAATTAAACTTCCATTTCTTGTGCAACACCTAATGAAAATACAGGAAAAATCAAATGTATAGAAGAACAACATAGATACACATTTACATCTATTGTTATATTTACAATTTGGTTACACTTTCTTGCACGCTGTGTGCCATGTGAGATTGTTTGGTCTCATGGCTCACTACTAATGTGGTCTCCCAAAGGTTTCAATTGTCTTGACACTAGTGAAATAGATTCTGAAAATGACAGTCAATATATTAGTTCTATTAGTGTCATCACTTTTGGTATTCTATGCAAAGTATACCCAAAGAAATTATCAGAATCAACTATGTTAGATTACCTACTGAAGAAGGAAATAGAAATCACATATGATGACTATATTATTTTTCTTGAATCGTTTTCAGGATCTAGCAATTCTTCCATCAAACGTTTTAATTTATATTTTGAAAAAAATATTTTAAGGGAGGGGAAGATCAAAATTGCTATTTGCTGCACTTATGTTTGAATCTTGATGAAGTAAAATTGTAACAAATAAGCCACAGATAATAAGTGAGGTAATAAAAGTAAAACCAAAATTTTTGTTTATATATCAGTGTTTGTCGTAATGTCATTTCTCTCTTTCTTGTTTCGACAGAAATATGATTTAATTTTGCACTCTGTTCTTATGAATGGCATTCTGTGGTAAAATAATGAGATTGTTTTTGTGTTTGCAGGATCTTCTGATGGTGATTACTTTGGCACAGTTGGTGAAGACCCAATTGCAGTTGAATGAGAAACTCACTCTACTCACAACTCTGTAAATTGTAGTACTCACATTATGTTCTTTAAAAATCTGAATAAATCAGTCTGGGATCTACATTGTAATTATTGTTAACTTCTCTCTCCATTAAGTAATAATAAATTTCTGAATTTGTCTTTCAAATATTTTGTTTCAAGCTTTAACTTATATTTAACTTGATTTAAAAGCTCACCAAAGGTGACTTTCTCTGAAGAAATAAACAGAACATGACTTAACAACAATTTTAAGGTAGCTACTTTCTGAAAAATGTGTGAAACTGAGAAGCATCATAGAATTTCATGGCTCTGGAAAAGTGGTAAAAGGTAAAAATCAGGGAATTTGTAGAGAGTGGAGAGTTTCATGTGAGAGTGGAGAATTTGTGGAGAGTTTCATGAGAAGTCAGGGAAACTTTCGAGTCGTTATATAACTATATTGTTTTTCACGTTGTGAAGGCACAATGTGTTATGGAGAATCTGCAAGTTCTTGCCAACAAGCTTCATGCAAAATGCTTTCATGCAAACTTCGCTTATCCGCTTGCTCCAGAATCATCAAAATTACAGCTAACTTTCTCAATACATGTGTCTACTAAAGAATTTTTTATTTTTACACTATATTATTATTGTTGCTGTATTTTTATTTAACCCAAGTATCTAATTTACAGATACCCTTTACATGTGTCTCTTATAAAATGAAAAAAATTTAATTGTTGATTGTGCCGTCAAATATTAATTAAATTATACAAGAAACGATACACTATAACCAGGTTAATCCAATTTCCATTCGAGTTCACTATGATCTTTTTCTTATGTTTAAATGAATTCTTTCAATCATCAGAGCCTTTTTCCTTGCATTTTAAATTCAAATCCTATTTCTGTCAGTAAGTGATAAAATGCAGAATATTTCAAATTTGATTATGTTTATCAAATAAATCATTTGCACATGACTGCAGGAATATTTTTAAATATATTCATATTCAATTTGAGTTGTACCATATTATGTACATAATCATCAAACTTCTCTTCCCTAATGGTGCAGTTAACTGTGTTTTTCTTGGGGTTGTTATTTCCTCCATTCTTGTTTCCCTTTGTATTCTAAAGAAGAAATGTCTGTTGATGCCTGATTCTTTGCCAAATTCATTCACATTATTGACTCAGTTTTTGGATGTTTTCCTTGAAGGTTCACGAATACTTGAATTTTTTTTTTTTTTTCACCACCTTTAATTATTTTACCTTTTTGCTGCAATGCTCTCGAATCCTTTAATATTACAAAACTGACTAAATTACATACATGCATTTCTTTAACAATCCATATTCACCATCTGCACTCACTTCCAGCAGCAAAAAGCGACAGAACAGGATTACCCTACAAAATTCATAAAAGAGCTTCTTGTGTTCATTCAATTATTGATTGGTTCTTTTCGGTGATAATGTCAAATTTCCTTTCAGCCCAATAGGTAACACAAATACGTCCTTTAGGCCAATAAGTTATACATCCCACATCTGTGTCTCATTACATCACGTCATTGCCTCATGTCATGCGCAGCTTGAATTCAGAACAAACTGCAAAGGCACATAAGTAATGTTCTGTAGACCTTGGGTGATGATAGAACATAATTTCATAATTTTCTCCGCAACTTTGTCGCTGGAAATATTCAATTGGACATCAAGAACCCAAATGTCTCGTTGGCGAAATATTCTAATGCACAAAAAATTAAAATTCACACATTTTCGTTGACAATTCATTTTTTCATAAGAACACATTTGAACATATTAATAAAATGAAAGATCTGCGACTTCTTTGTGAACTGAAGTATTGTTTCAATTTTTTCAAAAGAATGCCTCCAATTTTAAAATACGTTTCAACTGTTTGAATAAAAGGTTCTGCAGAAAGCCAGTGTTTTCATTTTTTAATTTAAAAAGTACCTGAATGACACATTTTTAATGATTACCACTTTGTTCCTCATTATTTTCTCTTCGTTACTATATTTTTACTTTCTCGTGCTTAAAAACAGAAAGTTATGTAATGCTGCGTGAAATTTCAGCATAAAAACTGTATTACAGGATCCTGGTAACAAAGTGTTCAGTTGTTAAATTTAGAAAAAAATATCTTAGAACATGTGCTGCCAGAATCTGTTTTATGGGTAACAATGCTAGTGGCTAAACCGTTGGTTCATTTTCTCTGGAAATTGTATGCCCCAATTGATCTTTCTGATGTCATGGCTCCTGGATTTTAAACCAATGTATAATTTTGGGAAGTACTTTATATGAAGCCTCTTAGACATTTTCAAAATTTAAAAAAAATCCCCAAATTCTTGATTAAATTTTGTTGGATTATCCTAAGGACAATTAAGATGCAGGTCTCATGTTGGTTAAAAACTCAGATTTTTCGAAAATTGAAAAAATTCAAAATATGTTTTCGGCATCTTCCTTCAACTGAAATATTAAAGTCTCTTTATTTTTTTCCCCCTTCTTAATGAAATCTACTTCTTAAAGTTAAATTTTAATGTAATCATGTACAATTTTTTGAAAAGTTGAATATTTTTCAGGTAATGTTGCATGGTATAAAGGCCATTTTTAACTTTTGTTAAAACATTTTCTTATCAAAAGCATTGTCATTGTTTTTGATGAATTTATATTTTTTGATAGTTTGCAGGATATTTAAGAAAATGGTGCAGATCTCATGTTGGTTGAAAACTGATTTTTCAACAATTGAAAAAGTTCAAATTTTTTCGGTGTCTACCACTATTATGAAGGTGCAATTTTTTTTAATGAAATGTATTTATCAAAAACAGATTTCTAAATAAGGTCATGCTGAATTTTTCGAAAATATAAGTATTTGTGGACTAATTGGGCATTAAAATTGGTTACCTGCTTTGAAAATGATCGTAATTTTAGGTGTTTTGAGGCTGTTGGATTCCTCATAAGCTAGAATATCTGTCGTATTTCATATTTCTTGTTCACTTCTACATTGGAGTTTTTGTTACACATTTACAAATTAATCTTTAAGAAATTATTTAAAAGTATTTGAAATAAATATGAAACAAAAATTGCTACTCTTCAGTTGCCTGCTCCCACTTCACGCAATTGGATGCTAGGTATGTAAGTTAGAATTTACATATTATTTTATGTATCATTTTATTATTATTTGTTATATATTTATGTAATTTCATTTTAAAGTGCGTCCTTTAATTGTGTTAAATGAGAAAACGAATAGATGAGCGATTATTGTTGCTTGTTGTAACGATGCAACACACAGATAACATGATGAAGGCTACTTTAGTTCTTGGAAATAAAAAGGAATACTTTTATGTGTTTGTGCAATGTTAGTATACCATAGTGTTTAGTAATTACTATTATACATTTTTCGATCTATTTGGTTTCCAACACTATCAGTTGGAAACTATCATATTATTTGTAACTTATACAATTTTATTTTCTTGCATTCTGCTTATTTTTCACATCAAATGTTATATGAATACAAATGAGTTTTACAAAAAATAGTTTGGAAGGAAACTTTGGTGTAAATAGTATTACATAACCATTACTAATTGCGAATAAGTACTTGTTTTTAGTACTACTCGTTTCTACTTCTGTAACAATCGATGTGGTAACAGTGCACAAGATTTTTCCATAAAAATAACGTCCAGAACAGCCCATTGTGCCTTCTCGATGTGAAAATGAGTTTAGATATTATTGCTTAAACAATTAATCTAGCAAAAAACTGTGACCTTGTTAAATGTTTTTGCAATTCGCACTTTATTACGATAAAATGAGAGAGCTGAGAAAATACCATCAGACCTGCATTAATATTTTTTGTAAATAATAGTGTAAAATACTCTTCAAATCTTATCTGTGAAAAATAAAAATATGCTATTCCTAAAATGTTATAAGATCATATTTCTATATTGTCTTTTTTGTTTAACTGTATTAAAATCATATTAGTATTCAGAATAATAATATTTGCAATGCCTTTGGTATGATCAGCATATAACTAAAAATAGAAGTAATTAAACCACAAATATATAATTTTTCAAGTTTGCTGCCATATTTCTAATCTGTTTCATTGCTTACTACAGTTACGTTTACTTTCAAACATAATTAATTAAAATAACATTTCAACAGCTTCCATTCTTATGACAATAATCCATGCAGGAAGCAATGTGTTTTTAAAGGTTGTGTAGTAAATTCAAACTCGTGCAGCATAAAGGAAAAGTGTGATAGTGATTTATTCTGCTTTATTTGATTTGCTGCTTGATAAGTGCAGATTTGTTATTATTCATGACATGTTCTCTTGTGCAATTAAATGTAATCAGTCATATTATTTCATCAGTTAGAATACTTTGGATGTTTTTTATAAGAGAACCCATTCCAACCATTTTAATAATGGTTAAGAAACAAAATATCGTCTGTTTCTAACCCAAAGCTATAGGAAAAATATATTTACGTAAAGTCTACTAGCAGCTGACTATCAGTCGCAATTTTCAATGTCTTCAGAAATTATGGTTCAGTTAAATTAATATTGATATTTGTTGAAAATATCCTACATTGAAATTCGTCACACCAGAGAAACACCTACTTTCAAAATGAGGGATGAATAGAAGATTCATACGATTCATTAATATAAAGTGATGTTCCTGATGTTGTCATTTTAGCTCATTTCAAAATGACAACTACAAGCAAAGTCCAACACAATTTACAATTTTATTCTCTCTCTCTCCTCCCTCTCTACCCCCCGTTCTCCCCCCCCCCTTGCACCTCCTCTTTTCCAATCCCCGCCACCCTTTCTCTGACCCTACCTGGGTTACTGGATATCCAAACCATAGAGCAATGAACTTCCTTAGTATATGTCCAAACCATATACAGAGTAGTTCCAAGGATCCAAAAGAACATTTGCCTCCTGTTCAAAGACATATCGCAAGTCTGCAGGTATCTCTTGGTATCACTCCCAGAAAGGCACTGCCCCAGCCGGAACAGCTACAAGGGAATATATTTTCAGCAAACGCTGATGTCTATAATTACAACACTGGATGTAGTAATCATATTCGAGATGACAGTATCAACAGCTCACTCACTACAAAAGATTCACATATACTCATTATTTGACAACACCTTGCCAGATGACATTAAACAATTAAATTCGATACAGAAGTTAAAGTCCCAAGTAAAATCTGTTCTGCTGCACAACTGTTTCTATAAATCAGAGACTATACCGAGCATCTAAACGCAAAGTAATATTAATTTAAACAATGTAATTTAATGTATTATAGAATTTGGATTGTATAATTCTAAAGAACCTGTAACAAGTATTGTATTTAAGCTTCTGGGTCAATGACCCCTCTCTTGATCAGGTTTTCGTCCAGTTTCCCTGATCCTCGAGCAAATGCTGAGATGAGCCCTTGTTTTGCTTCCGGACATAAATGTAACTTCTTTCCATAGCACGTCACACATAGTTTTTAACTGTTTTAAAATAAATAATTAAAAGCCCACAACTGCAAGCAAAGAAAAGGGGATACCGGACGAGGAAGGAAATATCGCACGCGGTTAGGATAGGATACTGTTTCAGCACTCGCCTGACATTGATAAGAAAACTACCAACCAGCGCAACTGGCCGCCTGAATTCTCCTCCAGAGAGTGGCTCGGTTGAACCTGGCTATAAGTTGTTTCAATAATCTGTCACATCAGGATACAATCCCTAGGACCTTTCGACCGTAAACGCTATTCTGGTAACCATTGGGAGATAAGAGGAGACCGTTCTCCTCGATTATTTTCTTCATCTTGATATAATTACCCCGCCCGGCCCCCAAAAAATTGCTTTCACTTTTGAGGGGAAATGTACAATAGAGTTGATAACTATGAAGAAATATATTTTGATCGAGTTCCTTACGTGCGCGCGCCTGTAAGATACATGAAAATTATCACAATCAATTGAAGTCGCTCTGAGGAAAATCAGCTCTTCCTTCTCTCGTGTGTTAAATGCCCACATTTTTGAGACTCCTGCGGCAGAGGTTGAAACTTTGTACGGGAGTTGTATGGCCAAAGGAGAGATTCTCCTTCCTAGAGTGGCCATGAATTGTCTTCGTTTTGAACCAACAGAACCGCCTTCAGCGATGCGTCACGCAAGGAACACTTCAATAGGCAAGTGTTAGAGCACAAGGGCGGGGTAATCTCACAAATTGTGTACTGACACGGTGGCCTCTAGAAACTGGTTGTTTAAATACGATTGAGTTAGCGAAAACAAAACAAATGTCGTAAAGAAGGTAAAAGTGCGTAAACAACACCCTTAGTTGCTTCCGGTAGGCAAGTCAGACGTGAACAGAGTAGCAGGCCGATGTGATCTCACAATGTGTTGACGGAAGCCACAGGAAGAAACAAACGGATTC